CCATATTTGACCCAAAGTTGGGTTGAAACAACCCAGCATTTTTTAGAGTGTACCTTTAGCTTTTAAAGCTAAGATCATGTCATAGTTAATTGGCGCCATCTAGTATGTCAGTCGATCTGCAGGCTGCAGTGAGGACGGTCTCACAAACCTAACAAAATCACACTGCAAACATGCGCTGCTCACGCTCAATTAAAGTGACAGCACACGTTTGATGGACAAAATAAATATGATTTCACACAAAAAGTGCTAGAAATGCACAGAATATTATCATATTCTGCAGTCTGCAGCTGTAGTTACGCTGACGTGAAGCTCAAGCTCGCGGTGTGAAACAGGCGTAACAAGGGGTCTGCCTTTGTGAACCATTGTCAGTAAATTTGTGAACCATTGTCAGAAAATAGCCAGCTAAATCAAGTTTAAAATTATATTTAATCTTACTTTAAAGATCAAAACCAGACATTCCCCAAAACAGACCGGTGCCACTTGTGAATAAGCGGTAGGCTGCAAAAGAAAAAACATATTTATAACATTAATGTGCAATATCTTAATTAGATTTTTTATGATAAGATTTAATTATTTGAAACAAGGGGAGGTGGGGAATATATTCAAGATGCTCCTCACACTTAACACTTATCCATCTGGATGGGATTTTAACCATTGGGAATTACAGGATCTGGCCTGTATAGACACAGACAGACAAAAGCCAAAAACCTAGAGAGAGGAAGAGACAGTAAGGCAAAGATATAATGAGGGAGGTGAATTTTAGTCAAAGTTGTCCACATTTTCAGAGTCATAACCCAGCTTAAGAACTTGCTTGAGAATTATCATGTTTAAGTTTTGTCATTCAGTAATCTTGTCTGTACATGACTAAATTGCAAAGAGAACTAATAGCTTTATAACAATGCTTTAAATAGAATCAGTTTGCCAAAATGTAAACAAAAATGGCTGCAGCTAATATTCCAGAACCAAAAGTTTACTTAAACAAGTATGTATAATGTTAGCTTCATCTCACCTGCAATTCTTACTTGAAAGGGAAAACAAATTGCCTACATATTCGCTCAGGAGTCAGGACTAGACTAAAATACAGATTTAAGGTAACTAAATCACCAAACCTCCCAGAAAGAAAGAAATCCCATCCAAATAGGTCTTTGTTAAGTTTTACTCAAATCCACAATAATGGTAATGTGCTTTAACGAGCTAATGTGACTTGACACAATGGTGCATTTAATAATTAAAACAGCAAATAAAGCCATTAACTGCACAATCTGTTAACGGTAAAGTAGCTGGCATAGGTAAATGATATGTACAAATGAAGCATATTTTGACTGTACCTTCCGTGTTGTGTCCTCATAGACCATGCTATCTGGGTTACATTCAATCAATAAATTCAGTTAGAAAAACAAGACACTGTTAGCAATGAAACTAAATCAATAACAAAATAAAATTTTCCAAGTGGCACAAAAGCTGCATCTAAATCAGCATTGTATATGTATATGAACTGCAATTACAACTGCATAAATAATGCTATGAGATTAATGTTTTTAAATAATATTTCTTGTTTATTGTATAAAATCAATATCACAATTATAATTGATTTGATATTGGGAGGGGGAGGAGCTTGGTTAATGCAAAACGTTTGTTCTGGGAGCATATAAGTTCACTGGGTTGCTTTATGCACGTGTACAGCTATTTGCTGTAATTACAACAGTGATATATTTACAACAACAAATGTAGGGAGCTCCAAAGTTGCAAACGTGTATAAAAAGCAACAAACAGTTGCTTTGACTATATCATATAGAAATATATGACAAAAACTTGAAACTTGCATTTTTGCCCCCATGGGCCCTTATCATACACCCAGCGCAAGTAGTTTTGCTAGTTTCAGTCCGACGCAGTTCTTATTTTCCCGTCCTGCGCCACGTTGTTTAAATAGCAAATGCATTTGCGCCCAATTCTGCGCCCATGGGCGTGCTGGTCTGAAAACGAGGTGTGTTCAGGCGCATTGTTGGCGCGTTGCTATTTTGAGGAACTGAAAATAGACTGTGCAATAGACCAACTCAAACTTAGTCTAAAGTCTGGCGCAATATTTTTTCTTTGTTGTTTAAAGAGCGCATTAGTAATATGCGCCTATAGGTGGGTGCACAACGGGTGTACACTTTGCTTATTACACACACAGGGCAGCAGCACACAAACATTTCTAAAAATGAAAAATTACATTCCGCCATGTAAATAGCGAACCCGCCATGTTAAAATATGTCCCCATATCTTGAATTTTCGAGGTCATTCTAAATGCAGTGTGAGTGTACTAAGCTACATTAGTGAAAGTGTGCTCTTAAAGGGGTCATATGATGCGATTTCAATTTTTCCTTTCTCTTTGGAGTGTTATTTTATGGAGGACTTTTTACTGATCCTGGGAGAGTAACTTTAGAATAAAATGCCGGCAGTTCTGACTCACGTAAGTACGTTTTCATTTAAAGGATTTGCCACTGATGATTCAAACGCGAGTTTGACCTATGAGCTTTGTAAAAATCGACGCGTTTCAAAAAGGCGGGGCATAGAGGAGAAACGATAATGTACAGTATGTGGAAAATAATGTGTTTTTTTAACCTTAAACCGCATAAACACATTTCATTACACCAAATACACAAAATAATGTTCTTTTTTGCAGCATCATATGACCCCTTTAAGGCGTTTTTGTTTGGTTTTGGAAAGTGAGTGCCATACGATTCACTGTACTCTCACAACTAAGACACACAGGGTGAAGCCGTGTTTCCTGAGGGTTGTTTATATGTGTTTTCAGGGCATATGGAGGTTGTGTTTTAAATTAAGTCTCATCTGTCTCGAGCACACTCACTTGCATTCATTCTCTGTGCTCTGGTTATTCTCAAACACATGCTGATGAGCCTTATCAGTTAACAAGTATTACAGCAATTAATCATGAGTACTCTTTTATATTTTTACACACACACACAGACACACACATTTGAAAATGAATCAATTTGTTTGAATTTCACTCTTAAAAGTTTGTACAAACCCTGTTTAAAGTATTCAAGATTTAGCAGCAATGGAACTGAAGCCTCTAATGAAGCAGCATTAGATGTTGGTGAAGCATAGGAACCGTTGTAATTTCTTGATGGTGTTTGGTGTGGTCCACTTGAGTACTGCATAAACCTTATTCGTATCCATCATCACGCCTTAGTCACTGATGACATAGTCAAGGAAAGAAACAGTGGAGACATAAAATCATCATTTCTTTCTACACAAGTTGTTTTAAAGTGGTCTCTGTTGGGTTGGGTGATATGGACCAAAAACCATATCTCTGTATTATTAGGGTGAACTGCGATATTGATTTCTTTCATTGTTTATTTTTAAGCGTATGAATAATTATTACATTGACGTCACATTTGTTGGTGTATAAAGCATTTATTGGTTATTACTTATTTGCCAATAGATAACATCAGTCATCATGTTGTTACTTACCTGCTTATCTTGCTGTTCCTGGGTTCGTTCTGTTCTGGTAACAACAGCCATACCATGTTGTACTGTATGTGTAGCTCTTATGTTGGTTTTTATTTAATTGTTTGACATGCATTGATTTGAATTGCTTACCGCGGTAGTTACTGTCGTTTGTTTATTCAAATGGCTGTGTATGAGAGTGTCATTAGAGAAATATGAATTGTAGATGAGGAGTTAATTCCATTGAATTGGTTTGTCCCAATTTTGATGGCAGGAAATATTAGGCTAGTATTTAAACCACATGTTGTAAGTTAGGACAAAAAAAGGATGTGTTCTCAAGGACTGTGCCCAGATAAGGGTTTCTCTGCATTGTTTAGTGCTAGGTTTGCTGCTCCAACCATTTTCTTTGTGGTTTTGTGTAGCCCGGTGAAGGTGCTGAGTTTGAGCACTAGGCCTATATTTAAATTTGTTTTGTTATTTTGTTTATTTCCTTTTTGCTTGTTTGTACTTTGTATTTAGTTATCACCCTCATTTGTGTCTGTGGGGAGAAAATAAACCACTTTTTGCACTTCATTCCCCTTGTCGGACCATGCTTATCTAGTTCCTCCCTAGACCATCGGAACCACGATATCTGACTTTGATGGCCATAAGGTTAGCAAGTTCAGTCACCTAAAAGTTTGCACATTTTCAGTATTTGCACACAATTCAATGAATTTGTTTTTACAATTCATCTTATTTTAGGCAGTTTTACAAAGAATAGTGCCTCACAAACCTCCCAATTTACACGCTAGCAGTTATCGCTATCAGTTTCTTTGTGTTATTGACAATGTGTCCAACCAATCACAAGTTAAGTATGGAGTGCCACAGGGTTCAGTATTAGGTCCTCTACTTTTCTCCTTGTATATGCTTCGCTTATTGTGGTTCCATGAACGCCAGTTCAGTTATGCATGTATTATATATGACAAGATTGTTTGTTTATAATTTTGTAAAACTTTTGCACACTTTACTGCATCATCTCTATCATGACGTCCTGTGCTGTTATTCTGCCCGGCTCCATACATGGCTCTGACACTCCTGTGGTCAAAATGTTTCATTGCCGGATCAAAAGACTATTTGCAAACTAAGGTATCAGTGGACAGGTTTTTGTTGTCGACATTGTTGATTGATTCGGCCCTAATGATTGTATGGGCACAGGTCTAACAAATAGCTTGAATGCACTGTAAGTCGCTTTGGATAAAAGGATCTGCCAAATGAATAAATGTGAAATGACACTACAACTGTTCCTGCGATTACTACAATGACAAGTTCATTTTTTAATGATAATAAACCACCTAATGACTACCGTATTTCTGTTCATAAGGGAAAAGACCCAGAAGAGGTGGACGAGGTGGCCGTCGGTATTGAAAAGGGTTTCATGGACGAGTTCTTTGAGCAGGTTTGATATTAATATTGCTATTTCACTAATGAAATCTCCTTCTCTGGGATTTGTTTCCTAATCAGCCACACACAGAAAGATGCTGCTGCATGATGCTCTATAATGACACGCAATTAACACATCATGTTAAGACTGCCATAAAACAGATTCACAGAAGAGCTTAAATGTGTTTGAACAGAGTCAGCACTAAACTTTGCAGTTGCGTTCTATTTATCAAGTAACACTGATAACTTATTTTAACCTGTTATATAAGATACATATGCAAACATACACTATACATATATAAATCAACAGTTGACATATGCACAGGAAAAGAAATGACTGCTGATCAGATTTGTGTTTGAAATATGAAAACATATTGGTAATTTTTTGTAAAACTCTAAGTTTCGTGACGCTTAATCAATTTATTTGTGAATCAACTATCTGTGTGTGAATTTATTTGAAATTTTGAGTCAGGTCTAACCCTGCAGAGATATTTGAAACAAGCTTTACTGATAATAAACAACATGTATTTGATCCGTTCTGAACTTCCTCTTATCTCTCAGGTAGAGGAGATTCAAGGGTTCATTGACTCTCTGGCAGAGAAAGTAGAAGAAGTGAAAATAAACCACAGCGCCATCCTGGCCTCTCCAAACCCAGCCGAGAGTAAGATCCTGCTACACATAAAGCCTTAATTAACTCACAAACGCAAATGAAAAAGATTACAGTCTGTCGATCAGCTTCACCATTACAAATAATTTGTGTATCTCTGTAAGAACTTACGTGAACATTTAACTAGATTTCAGACATAACAACAGGACTGTTCTGATTGGCTGCATTCGCACAGCTACAGAATGTGGAGGTCGGTCCTGCTTCAGGTGTTCAATACACTTCTGTTTACACTCGCTTCACTTATGAAAGACAGTGACTACATTACAAGTGACTCCATTAACCCTCAGATATTTACTCAGATATATGCAGACCCTTATCAAGGATCCGGTTGTCCGTTTACACTTTATTTTAAGGTGCCCTTGTTACAGTGTAATTACACAAGTAAGTATTGAGTAATATTAATTATCAAAGTGTACTTGCTATATAATTAGGTTATGGCTTCATTTTCCTTGTAGTTATGCATAATTTACTGTTATTGCTCTAGCAGTTAAAGTACATGTAAGATGTGTAACAAGGACACTGTAAAAAGTGGGAAAAGACTGTGAACCATTATGTTCTTTTGTTTATGTGAAAGGAAACATTACAATTTAATTTAGTAATTTGTGCACCAGAGTCACATCTCTATTTTGAGAGTGAGATTGGTTACTGTGTGCTGTGTGAACGGACAGTCAACCCATTCAACCCTAACCCATTCTACAGAAATAAGCTTTGCTCAGATTCTGAAAAAAAATGACAGTAAACAATAGTGCCATATTCTATTGAAATCCTCCTTATAATGCAATTAGTAACAATTTTATACACTGACTGTAAAGGGATATAAATGTATGGATTCCCTCAAATGGACAGGAAAAAAACATTAGAGTGACCTGTTACCTGTTCAGAGAAGTGAACGATCTTCATATCTTTGCACTTCTGACCTGACGATAATTGTTTTTGTGTGTGTGTTTTTTTCTTATTTAATTATTGTTCCTGTAGCTCATGGATTTGATTCTGAGAGGATGAACTGAACTGAGCTAATAAAATGTATACCTTGAATGCAATGTGAGCTGCTTTGGATAAAAGCCTTTATCAAATGCAAGCAAAGTACAATATATTTCAGCCGGCCTGTGATCTCTCTCTCTATCTCTCATGTCTCTGTATAAAGCACAAACGCACTCTGCTCCTGCTGATTGTCAGTCTTCACCGCTCTTGCCGTGTTTGACGTCATGGAATATTAGATTAGAAAGTGAATTTTAGCCCTGGATCTGGTACAGTTTTTTTATAGCCACAACTGCACCAAAACATTGCTGACACTCATGTGCAGTGAGCCATGAAAGAGAAGCAGATGTGGTCCAACTGTAAGACATCACACTGAGTTCTTGTCTGGTTGGGTTGTGTTACAGCCTGACGACGCTCATGACTGACAAACTAAAAGCCAGTGTTCTCCCACAATTACAGCAGTTCTCTGTTCTTTAATTTACTCACAGTAAATGACTGTACTCTGTACTGACACAGGAAATATTAATGGATTGATAGATCTTGTGGGTAGTGGCGTATGAGATGGCTAAAAGAGTTCCTGAGGACATGAAGAGCAGCACAGGACTTCAGTCTCAAGCAAAGACTATGAGAAAGGAGGATGTGAACTGGGAGTTACAACTCTCAACACAAAGCCAGTGATGATCAGAGCCCAGCAAACAGGAGGTGGATTATACAAACATTAAAGGGATAGTTCACCCAAAAATGAAAAAGCAGTCATTTACTCACTCTGGTGTTGTTCCCATACCATATGGCCGTTTCTTTCCCTCCGGACCTTGAAAAAAAAAAGATGCAAAAGTATCACAGAACGGTTCCATGTGATATGAGCCATATATTCCAAGTGTTCTGGGGGCATATGATAGGGTTTGGTGAAAATCAATCCGAAACTGAAAGTGTTATTTAACGAAAATCCTGACATTGGCCGTTAGTCTTATGTGCACGACTGCACATTCATGAAACTCATGCAATTCACCCCGACTCACTCAGAAAAAAAGTGCACAATTTGGAGAAATCAAGATCAATAAAGGCACAAAATGAAATACAATATCTAGAAATACCAAAGAAGTATCCATGCAGTTTCTTCACTGAGTTGAATATCTCCAGACTGGAACTCTGGTTGTCAGATGACAGTCAGAATGAAAATTGACAGATGTGAACACGATAACTTGTTGCGATGAACACAACAGATATATTCACCTCAGAGAAGAAAGTGCTGCAACGTTAAGTCAGTGAAAATGAAACTAACAGAACATAACTTGACAGTACGTACCCTCCCGGAAGGCGCGACCTCACGCCGTAACAGAAGCGATGAGGTGGGAAGAGAGAGAAGAGGTGGGGGCTTTGGAGGAGGACAAGGAGCAGGAGAAGGGGTGGTGCGCAAAGAGCAGCCAGGATGATTGCCCATGGCAAAGTCGATGGAAGGAGGAGCCATGGTGGAGGAAGTGGCTGACGAGAGCTCAGAGCGACCCAGGAGACAGCCAAGAGGAAGGCAACTCACGGCGGAGCTGAGGGAGGGAGGAGCCATGGTGGAGCCCTGGTGGGGTTGCTAAGTGAAACCATGGAAACGACTGGCCGAGGTGGAGTAGGTGGAGGTGGAGACACAGGCGGAGCCGAAGAGCTGCAGAGACCAAGCGACAAAGAAGGTCCTGGAGACCGAGGTGTAGCCGCAGTGATGAGTGGCCAAGGTGAACCCAGGGAGCCGGAGGGAAGGAGGAGCCTGCCAGAGCCGAAGGGGTGGAGGGACGAGTACCTGTAAGTCCGTGGTGCAGGCAAAGTGATGACTGACCAAGGCAGAGCCGGAGGGGCAAGGAAACCCAGTAGAGCCAGAAGGATGACGTCCCATGGTGGAGCCGAGGGACTGAGGAGCCAAGGCAGAGCCAAATGGTTGATGGGCTCCACAGGTTTACACTCCATGGCGGAGCTAGGGACCAGAAGCCCCAAGGCGGATCAGAGCTGCATGGCAGGACTGGTAGTGGAGCTGAGCGGCTGGAGGGCGCCAGCGGAGGTGGAGCCGAGGGAATGTCTGGCTTCAGTGGAGCGTGCAGGAGAGGAAGGCTTGGTAAGTAAGCAGGCTCAGTGATGAACAGGGCTGGTGACAACAAAGAACACACTGTGATGGACAGGACTGGTGATGATGAAGAACATTCAGTGCTGGATGTGACTGTTGACGAAGACTCTGAGCTGGACCAGCAACGGCAAAGACACAGTGCAGGAAGGGACCAGTGGCAGAGAAGGTTCACGGGTGGGAAGCAGTACTTCCGTTTCCCAATCAGTTAGCCATTCCTCTGTATCCAGCTCCACCAATATACCCGCCGGCATGGATGTTGTAGTCTGTGGTGGACATAAGCTGGATCTCCCGGTCTGCGGTGGGCTCAGGCTCCTTATCAGCCGTGGGTGAGGGCTCTGGGTCTGGCTCTGTGTGGTCCACTGGAGGATCTTGGGCAGGCAGGGTTGGGATGAGTATATCTGGTTCAGAGCAGGCTTCTTCCTCTACAATTAGTGGACTACCCACCAGACATAGAGCATACTCGATGTATTCAAATAATTAGCAGTTGCTGTTCCCTACCAGCATGATTTGAAGCTGTTCATCATGAAGCCGCTACAAAAGTGTCTCTTAATAGTGCACTCGTTCCAACTAACCTGATGGCACTCAGTCCTCAACATAATCCTCCAGTGGCCATCCTCCTTAATGTAAGGCCAGGAGTTGCTCTGAAATATAGTCCATTATTCTCATTTTTGTTGGTCCGGTGTTCTGTAACGTTAAGCCCAAGGAAGATGAAGAAAGTTCAAAAACAGATCAAATAAAACATGTTTTTTTTTTTAGAAAACAACAGAAGGTAATCCAAATAACAAGCCAAGCTACTGAACAGTGTGCACAATACACAAACAATTCTTAACTTAAGTCGTCAAGGTGATGAACAAGTTACAGACAGGTGTGATTGTTAATGAATGACCATGGTAACGGAAAGTGGTGGGAAACTAGAAGAAAGGAACGGGAAAGTGATAAGTAAAATCCATGAAAATTAAACTTAACAGAGCATAACTGGGACAAGTACATAGATTGTACTTTGTGTCGTGTTTTTATCAATCTTGATTTCTTGTGTGCTTTTCCTGGTTGAGTCGTAGTGAACTGCTGTGCTAATCTCATGAATGTGCAGTCATGCACAGAAACCAACAGCCAAGGTCAGGATTTTTGTTAAATAATACATTCAATTTTGGTTTGTTTTTCACCAAACCTTATCTTATATCCCCCGAACACTTGGAATATAAGGCACGTGTCGCATGGGACCACTTGGTGATATACTTTTGCATCTTTTTTTTTTTTTGTAAAGCTTGATGCTGATTGTTATCCACTGCCATTTTATAGATGACTGCAAGCAGGACATTTTAGAAAAATTATCTTTTTGTGGTCCAAAATAGAAGGAAGGGGATACAGCATTAGAACAACACCAGGGTGAATAAATTATGACTTCATTTTCATTTTTAGGTAACCTTTACCTAACCTTTAGGTAATTTAGGTATTTTCCTCTGGAAATAAACAGAGGAAATCAATATACAGACAGTCAAAACACTGTAACTCTCTGCACAAAATTGCTAAAAATGCATTGCATTAAATTAAAGATGCCTTCAGTATTTCTAGAAGGGAATCTAGTTGGTAAATAATGTGTATGTCTTAGAATATTCTGAATATGCTGAGTGCATTACATATAGATATATTCCAGTAGCTGGAGATCAGAAATGATGTGCATGTAAACATGTTCTGTGTCTTTTTAATTTTATGACAGAAACAAAAGCAGATTTGGAGGAGTTGATGACAGATATCAAGAAGTTGGCTAATAAAGTACGCTCCAAGTTAAAGAGTGAGTTCTTCGTCCTCAACAACACACGTTGCAACCAGTTACATGTTGAAGCATTAAAGAATCGATTGCCTCTCTCTTCACCTGCCAGTCACACTCGAATCAATGTCCTACAGACTAGCTTACTTCAGTCTGAATGTGATAGACTGTAGTGAAATAGAAGCTCACTTAAAGTTTTATAAATAGCAAGAAACGTAATAGGCAGTCAGTCTAGTGACAATAACATTGTCTGATATGAGCACTCAAGCTTCAGCTGGTTCAAAATGCAGCAGCTAATTTAATAACCCTACTGGACGTCCTCCCAGTAGTGCGTTGCAATAATCTAATCTTGAGGTCATGAATGCATGAATAAGCTTTTTGGCGTTAGAAATAGAGAGCAGTCCATATCATTTGCATTTACTATCATTCACTAATGTTCCATAATATGATGAAGTGATTAGTGTCTTGTAAATGCTGAGCTCACCGTAACATCATGACACTGATTCCAGAGGATTTGGAATAACTTTGGTATTATTTATTTATCTTTACTCTCTTTAGCACTAGTAAATAATTAACCACAGTGATTTTTTTTAGATATCCAGCAGACCATAGAGCAGGAGGAGGCACTAAACCATTCAAAAAATCCATCAGCTGATCTGAGGATACGGAAAACACAGGTCAGAGGGGTTGGACACGACTCCATTACAACCTGTTACTCACTGATGACTGGCAGATGTGTTGTTGTGTGTACATTAATATAAGAGGTTTCTGTTTTTCAGCACTCCACCCTGTCACGTAAATTTGTGGAGGTGATGACGGAATATAATGCAACGCAGTCAGATTACAGGGAACGCTGTAAAGGACGGATACAGAGACAGCTGGAGATCAGTGAGTAAACACACACACTAGTAACACTTTAGTTTAGGGACCAATTCTCACTATTAAATAGTTGATTATTAGCATGCATTTTTCTACACTGTTAAAATTTTTTGTGTGTGAAAATACAGTATATTCCAGGTTAATAATTGCATTACTTTCACCGTAATTTCAGAGTGGCACTTCTCTTGTATTCTTGTGAACAAACAGCATCATACTGTGTTTCTACAGTGCAGATGTACTCTGAAGGCACCCAGCATGCAATGCAGCACGAATAGATCATGCTGTAGAGTTTTTTCATTCTTGTTGGTTTTATTTGTGCTATTGAACTTGTTTTCGGTTCACTTTTAGCAGTTTGTGTTGTTAGTTTATTTTCTAATGTTGGTTTGTGTTGGTTTTATTTGTTGAGTGTTACCATTGTTGTGTTGAGTTTTGATGTCACATCTTTCAAAGACATTTCTCAGCAGTCGCTTCACTATCGTGAAAGATCCATCCACAAACAGTTATGAATATGAAATAAGTTATTATTAATCTTCATGCTTAAATAATGCTAAAATAAAATTTTCATGTTCATGCTAAGAATAGTTTGACTATCTTAAAATCAGGAAATTCACTTCATATTCTGGTTTGTCATCATTTTAATAAATGTTTTCATTTGTCACACTTCTGACGTGACTAGATCAGAAATTTGAATATGAATACACAAGGTCACAGAGCCCAAACAAATGCTAATCACTATTCACCATTATGGTGACTTCAAAACAATTACAGCAGTAAACAACTAAATTTCTCACAGTGGCACAGTTAAAGACAACTTTATAACGTGAATTCACAGTAAAACAAGAGCAGTTAATGACTGTGATGTTAGCATCATTCTGCTGTTCATTCACAGTCATTTGTGAGAAAATGACCAGCATGCATCGATTTCACAGTAAATTCCTGACTACAGTATTATTGTATTATATATTACAGTATTATTGTAAAATAATACTCTTTAATCCTGTAAATTCCTGGCAATTTTTACAGTGTAGCAAATTGGCTGTTTATTAGTACTTCTAAAGCATGTGTTAATGCCTTATTCCGCATGACCATGTTTTAGATCTCTTAATCCCAAACCCCATACCTAAACTTAACAACTACCTTACTAACTATTAATAAGCCGCAAGTTAGAAGTTTATTGAGGCAGAAGTCATAGTTAATAGTTGGTTAATAATGAGGATTAGACCCCTAAAAAGTGTGACCAAAAACAAACAATTTTCAGTACAATAATATTTATACAAATAATAATTGTAATAGCTGTAAGCAATTAATAAAACATAATTGCCCCAAAACAACACTAATGAGTTCTTCTATGAATTTATGCTTTAGTGTCAATTGCTTCTGTCTCTTCACATGATCCCTGACTCAGGTTAAGCTCAAGGAGTTGGGATGTCCATATAGCAAAACCTTCATTCTGTTCATGTGTTCAGTTCATCTGTTCAGTGAACTACTGTATGTTTGTGTTGATTTTGAGAAGATCCAAGCACGGCCCAGTTTAAGCTTCCTGAGGTGTTGATTCAGTATCTGCCAGTACTTAATGAGTTAATGATACCATTTATCCTAACAAGATGTACATTTCAAGAGCCTTTGGAAGAAAAACAGCCCTAAAACATCCAAGATCCACAACCATGCATGACATCTTTCTCGAGTTCGCTCGGGCCGTATGCTCTTCTGTCCTCGTGTCTTGTGTTGTTGCATGCAGCTCGTGTTATTTCGGCTGCGTGCTTTCATGTTACGTCTTGTGCTGTGCAGCATGCAGCTTGTGTTTTTCATTGGCTGCATGCTTTCATGTTGCCATGTCTTGTGTGAACACGCGGCTTATGAGTATTCTCGCTTGTGTTTTTGTTTTGTGTGAGCACATGGATTTTGTATTGTTTGGTTTCTTGTGCCATGTGCTCTCATGCCAATTGTCTAACCCCACCCATCTTGTTACCTGTTTATTGGTTTATTTGCCCCACCTGTGTTTCCCTTATTAACCTCCTCATTTTCTCCCTATTTACTCTCCTTGTGTTTGCAGTCCTGTGCAAGTTCGTCGTCAAATGTTGTGTGTGCCTTGTGTCTTGCCTTGTCCTGTCCTGCCTTGCCAGTCGGTTTCCCCTACGGGGTAGTTTCTGTTTTTTTTGTTTTATTTTTTTTATTAATAAAAGCCCTAATTCCTCCTGCGATTGAGTCCTTGCCTCATCCCTTCATCCCCAACCCTGACAATTTGTGCATTATGCCTTGCAATGAAAATCAAATTCTAACATGAAAGCTTCAATTAGACCACTGGGTGCCAGGTTTTAAAGTCAGGATTGCTGTAAATATGTACCAGAGGTATGCAACAGGTCATGCATTCCCTGGGAATCGAAACCATGACCTCGACGTTGCTAGCGTGGGTTCTGTGTCAAAAGGATTTTTCTTGTGACTCAAGAGGAGTGTGCTCATCACTCTGAACTGCTTGAAGTTAAAATGTCATTTTATGTATTTCCCAGCTCTCCTATGTCATCATGTTTTTGCCAACACTCTAATGCCAAGGCATATTAGTGTTTTGTGTGGTACTGTCTAGTGTTCCTACGTCCTCTATAGGATTATATGGTTCTGGAGAGAACAGATGACCCCCATCTGTCTGACAGGCCTCACTCGAAACACACACGCCACGACACCGTCCACAGTACAGCTCTGCATTCAGTGTGTAATCAAGTCTGAGTCACGATACATCCAGATCACAGATGTGTGATCACTCCACACAGTTCATTATTAACTCAATGAGCCACTGATTACAGACTGTCAGGGGTGAACAATGGTGCATGTCACCTCGCTGTTTCAGGCTAGTGATTCTCTATTGTTTTTCTCGATTCTCATTTCAAAAAGTGCAGTAGAATTGTTTTTGAGTAATTAGCCCTTTAGAGAAACATTTCCTCCATAATGGATTTGCTCTTAACTTGACCCTTTACATTACATTTTCTGTGAAACCAGAAGGTAGTCTATTACTAGCAGTATTGTTTTGGCTCAGTCAGAGAGTACATTCATCACAGTTGTTGTGTATTTCTGTTATTTGGTGAAAAACATGGTAACACATAAGATTAGGGAGCACATGTTCACTGCTGACTATGACGTTTGCTTATTATTAGTTAGTAAGGTAGTTGTTAAGTTTAGGATTAATGCATCTAGAATATGGTCATGCAGAGTAAGGCATTAATATGTGTTTTATAAGTACTAATATACAGCCAATATGTGAGTAATATGCATCCTAAAAAGCAACTAGTTAATAGTCAATAGTGTTCCCTAATCTAAAGTGTTACCAAAAACATTTACCCATCAACCCATGCGTCATACTGTAGTCTGGAGAGATGCAAAACTCTGCATATTCATGTTGACTTTAAAATCTATTTCATGAAGTTACTAAACCTCTCAGATTTAACTACAGTCACATGACATTATGCATGTCTGCACAGATCAAATATGCATTGTATGTTTGAGTCTTTTTCTATCAAAGACAAAAAATTTAACCCATGCTCCTTTGTGCTATAACACTAGCAAGATATTAATGTTTTTTTTTTTCTTTGTAGCGGGAAGAAATACAACAAATGAGGAGTTGGAGAGCATGTTAGAAAGTAACAACCCCTCCATCTTCACTTCAGGGGTGAGTGGATGTATATAGCATCATATATTAGTACAGTAAAAATGTGCATTCTTTAAAGAAACAGATGGAGAAATGTGTAATAAAGTTATGCAGATTCTCACTGTATTGTACGTTTGGATTTTGTTTTTGTTTTTTTATGTAAAAAAGTTCAGTTTTTGGCAAAGGTAAAAGCCCTTTTGAAATGTAAATTCATATCTGTACAGTAGAGGGCGCAGCTCAAACAAAACTTTCAGCTGTGCTACTATTCTGGATTGCATGAAGAATAGGATACAGGAGACGAAAGATCAACACTTTGTTCTCAATCACAATAAACTAAAAAAAAAAAAAAAAATTGGAAATGTTCATCTAAAGTCATTTTTGCTAATTAGGATGGTTGAACTGAATCATCGAAGGTCAGTAGCAAATACATTGATTAATAAATGGGATTAAATGCATAAAGGATATTTGTGACCCTGGAGCACAAAAGCAGTGTTAAGTCGCTGGGGTATATTTGTAGCAATAGCCAACAATACATTGTATGGGTCAAAATTATTGATTTTTTTTTATGCCAAAAATCATTAGGATATTAAGTAAAGATCATGTTCCTTGAAGATATTTTGTAAATGTTCTACTGTAAATATATAAAAACGTAATTTTTGATTAGTAATAATTTAATTGTGTTATTTATTGAGTTTGCATTTCACTGTTTTTATTCATTTCTCAAAATACTGAATCTGTTTTTGTGCGAGTGAGATGAGTAAATGCATGTTGACATTTAGTCTAGATTGACAGTAACATCATGTTCACGCAGCGCAAGAATATAACACAATTTACAAATACGCTTATAGCCTTTGTGAATTTTATCTGATGGCAATGATTCTCTCACTTCTTTTTATTCCTTGGGTCCTACAGAATCGATAAGATACAGTTTGCGACAGTCTGCCTTTTTTTCTGTTCCCTATTTTCAGTCCAAAACGTACTGTTTTAAACTCCTCGCAGACTGTTTGTCCGATTCTCACCAAATATCATCACCAGACCATTATTAAAGCACAAAGTTTTGTGTCTCAAAAGTATGGCACTTTTCCTCTTAGTTAATCGTGAGTGAGTAATGTTTGGATTAATCAACCGAGTGTTCAGGATTACTGTCACAATAAAAGATAAACCTGCTTTCTAGAGCACCCCGCAGTTGAGTTTTACTGGAAAGCAGCTTTGAGAAATGATGACTTTGGTGGGATGGGGCTCTAAGGAGGTCTAAAGATTCGTATTTTGTAAGATAGGAATTTTCAGCCAATCCCCTTCTCAGAATATCCTGCATTTTTTGTTGTTGTTGTTTTTGCTCTCAGTAAAGCAGCCAGTGATTAAAGCAGAATTACGTTGGAAAACGTCCTCATTCTCACTTTCTAATTTTTGCTCCAGATCATCATGGACTGCAACATCAGTGAACAGGCCATGAATGAGATTGAGACGCGGCACAATGAAATCATCAAACTGGAGAACAGCATCCGTGAGCTGCATGATATGTTCGTGGATATGGCCATGCTGGTGGAGAGCCAGGTGAGCTTCACTGACAGATGATTAAACAGCTCTGTGTCACTATCAATAACACAAAATCTGGAAACTGACCAGTGGATATCTATTTTTACAGGACATAATCAAACCCAGCTAAAATTGGGTTTAGTGTGACATGTAGAAGTGAGCCCTAGTCCTGCAGCATTTGAGACACTTGATCTGATGAGTCACATTCACACTGTAAGGGACAGACAAGAGCTAAAACAGCGGTAAAGCAGTTGCAGTGTTTAGTCAGACTGCTTTCATGGGTGCGCAGTGAACCAGTCAGTCGGCTGACATCTCAACTCACCCACATTATGGTAATTTCAGAACTCAGAAATGAAACATAACGTGTGGAGGCATCTTCAGTCATCAAACAAACACAAACACTGTCTTCCAGCAGCTTCTGCACTTTTGAGCTCTTTGCAGCAGTGACTGTATGATGTTGAGATCCATCTTTTCACACTGAGGATAACAGAGAGACTCATACACAAGTATTGATGCTCAAGAAGGTAGCAATGCTTTAAGAGCCGAGGGGAATAAACTTGATGGTCAAGGTGAATTGTTCCTATGTTTGTTCCTATGCGCTCTCCTATTGAGGTCTTTGATCTTGAAATGAGCTGATAATTAAACAAATGCAGCGCTTATCTTTTGATTTCGTTGACGTGAACTCCGTTCAATTTAAATATAGCGCGGGAATTGAAGATCGGATTTATATCCGTTTTGCGACGACACATTTATGTGGCCAAATGTAAATGGAAACGTTTTAACAAATCAGATCAAGCGAAAACGCATGAAATGACCAGGTGTAAACAGGCCCTATACCAGTCATCGAAGGGAAATTAACTAGACACACACAGTAAAATCCCGAGTGTTAAATTAACACTGCTCGGAGCATATATGGTCCCACTCTGAAAGAGTGTTAAAGTAACGCTGAAGCAGTGTTAAAGTTACTGAGATAATTCTGTGATTAATTAAGTGCTGATTGATCATTAGTGCTGAACAGCTGCTGTTAACAAGCAGAATCACTGAAGAAAAGAGAACTGTTTTTTTTGGTGGTGACATTGTTGTCATGTTGTAGTCAGGTTCACTGATATTATCAGTGGTAATGTGTAATATAGTTTGTTATTGATCACAACTGTGCTTTAATGAAAAGCTTTAAAAACATTTTGCACCCCAGTTTAGAACATCTGTACTGTTTAGACACAGACATCAAGGATCAGCATATGAATCTCAACAATGGTGACGAGCATCAGACAGATTCATGCTGCAGTGCATTCTGGGTGCACCAATCATAACTCATCCATGGCTCCCAGCATGCATTGCAACATGAATAAATTATGCAGCTGCATTGTCTTAGTATTTTCTTTTATTTTTACTATTCGCTTTTATTTTTGTTATTTTTTGTTGTGACTTTTTACTGCCTTATTTTGTGACGTTCAAAAATCACATAAACATTATCTGAATATTTTGTCACCATTGCTGAGATTCACATGCTGATTCTTCATGTCTATGAGTGCCAGAATTGAAACACACTCAGGATTTTACTGTGCAGGTGAACATGATGAGTAGCCAAGAAAACAAACCAGGGCATAAGAGCCAAGGAAAAATTAACATGGGAACAGTGGAACAAAATAAACTTCAGAACAGCTATATTTTAGCAATATAAAACCCATGACCACTCCATTTGATAATTATTCTGTCCTGTCTTAAACAATCAGTGGCTCAAAAAAAAAAAAAAAAAAAATCAAGTCCCGTCCTACATTTTTTTCTCATTCAAGAAGCAGTTTCACTCATCTATACATACTACAAAAGAAAAGACGATTGCAATTTCCATTTCCAATTTTCTTCAATTTAAACATTCAAGCAAATTGAGCTCTCTTTTGTATCTTATCATGGTTGAACAGACAAATGCACACAAAATTATTAAAGCAACCACTATTCACCAAAACGGTAAGTTGAAGAAGAAAAAAAAACCATAAACATTAATTCTTAATAAAGAACTTCTGTTTTAGATACTCCAGAAATAAAGTCAGTCTGGTTAGTAATGTGTGAAGCTGGTGATGCTGTTTGTGGAGATGATTAATCATCTTCTGCTGAGATCTTGAGAGATTTAATGTCTTCTTTTATTTCAGTATTTCATCTAAGACTGTGGCTGAAGTCAGTTGTAGTTCTTGTGTTTCTCTTTTCTTCAGTGATTCTGCTTGTTAACAGCAGCTGTTCATCACTAATGATCAATCAGCACTTAATTAATCACATAATTATCTCATTAACTTTAACACTGCTTCAGTGTTACTTTAACACTCTTTTAGAGTGGGACCATATATGCTCCGAGCAGTGTTCATTTAACACTCGGGAATTTACTGTGTAAGATCGACCAATAGCAAACCACAACCATCCAACCATCCAATCAACTCCCCATGGACAAAATCAAGTCCCGCCCTACATTTTTTTCTCATTCAAGAAGCAGTTTCACTCATCTATACATACTACAAAAGAAAAGACGATTGCAATTTCCATTTCCAATTTTCTTCAATTTAAACATTCAAGCAAATTGAGCTCTCTTTTGTATCTTATCATGGTTGAACAGACAAATGCACACAAAATTACCGTTCTGTCATGTCCTGAGCTGGCATCTATGCACTTCCTTTCACTGAGCCCTTTGAATTGTATACATGTTTTCGTTCGGCCGTCATTGGAGATAGATGCAGTTTGCTGTCAGATGTAATTACAGCATCTACCAGCAGGGGCTAAAACTTTGACCCCCCTTTACACCTTGAGCTTTATTTTGTTCAGTGCTAAATATATTTACCGCAGTGTGCCGTTACCCAACATATTCTCCATGAAAACAAGAAATGGTCATTCAGTAAATAGTGTTTGGTGAGCTGTACTTTCCTGTTTTCTTTCAGGGAGAGTTAATAAACAATATAGAGAAGAATGTCTGCAGTGCACAGGAATATGTGGAAAAGGCCAAAGAGGAAACCAAAGCAGCTGTCAAAGTCCAGAAGACTAGCAGGACGGTGAGATTGAATCCATTAAACTCCTCTGAAATCACCTTTCTCTTTTTCTTTCCTCTTTCTCTGGGGCCGTGTCTCCTGCTCTGGTCAGGGAGATATGATAGACCGTATAGAGTATAATGTGGATCATTCAGTGGATTACATTAAGGATGCATTGTTAAACACCAAGAAGGCTGTAAAGTACCAGAGTAAAGCGCAAAGGGTGAGTGGAAGATACGTCAGTGCCTGCTGTCTGTCCTGCATGAGCTCATTTCTCACCTTTTCCCATTCCCACTCCTTATAGTGTTTAATGGGAAGCTTTGTCTGTGTGCTGTCGACATTAATCTAATGCTCTCATTCTCAATCATAGAGGTGCTAAATTCATTTACACAGAAACTAGCCAATAATATTTCACCCAAAAATGAAGATTTGCTGTAAATGCACTCACTCTCAGTTCATCCGAGATCAGGATGAGTTTGTTTCTTCATCAGGTTTGTAGAAATGTAGCATTGCATCAGTGTCTCAGCAATGGATGCTCTGCAGTGAATGGGTGCCGTCAGAATGAGAGTCCAAACAGCTGATAAAAACATCACAATAATCCACAAGTAATCCACACCACTCCAGTCCATCAGTTAATGTCTGGAGAAGACAAAAGCTGAAACTAATCCAGCATTAAGATGCCTGTAACTTCAGACCGTTGCTTCCTTTATTCATAATATTGCGTTCTCCATGGAAAAAAGCATGCAGTGCAGCTGAGCTCCAGTCTCATTTTGTTCCACTGTAGAAGGAAAGGGTTTGGTACAGGAGAAACTGATGACTAGATTTTCATTTCTGGGTGAGCTAGCTAAACCTAGTTGTTAAGGTTTGTAATATGTTTAGTGCTGAGATATCATGAACTGAAGATCCCTGCAGCCCTCTCACTTTCTGTCCATATCGCCCACAGAAGCTGATCCTGATCGGCGGTTGTGTATCCGTCTGTCTTCTCATCCTCATCATCTCTCTAGCCATTGGATTGAGCTAACCCAATCACTCCGCTGTCTGCTTGTGACAGACAGGAGCTCAGGACCATCTGTTTGCATACTGTATTATTTGTGATATAGCCGATAGATTCAGTAGATTTTGTTTTTTTTTAAATCAGACATGCTGGGAAATTACATACAGACTGAGTGTGTTAAAGGGGTCCTATTATGCACTTTTACAAAGTCTTGATTTTGTTTTGGGGGTGTACTAGAACAGGCTCTCATACTAGGTTGTTCGAAAAACATTATTTTTCACATATTTTACATTATTACAACACCTCTCTCCCCAGTCTGGCATGAACGGCTCGAATAGTTCCTGTATCAAATGAAGGCCCGCCTTCTGAAAGACGAAATGTGCTGTGATTGGTTAGCAAGGCCAGTGTGTGTTGTGATTGGCACCACTCGGCGCCTACTCGGGAAATGTCATGCCCCTTACCATAGCCGCCTGCAAACTTCAGTGTAAATATTGCATCAATATCAAATCAATTTGAGC